TAACAATCTTTGTTTGTTAAAAATGGGGAAAATTCCTTTTGACAAAGAAAACGGCTGAGCTAAAAAAAAAAAATCATATGAAGCAGATGTAACTCAAGGCTGATAGGGAGCAACGGGGCACTTCTCATTTCCTTCTCAGGACACAAGATACAAGAAACTGAAAAGGGGAAAAAAAAGAAAAATGGGAACAGAGATCAATAAGCCTGTGCAGAAACAAAAACTCTAGCAGAGCGAGGCAAGACCTGGGAAACGTTTCTGAAACGGACAACTGTTGAGGAGATGAAAACGTGGGCAGATAAAGCAACGCGGTCCTGTTTCTCCTTCCTTAAATGGAAGAAGAATTCATGATGTAACTCTCAAGTCTACATGTTTGTCACTCGACCCAACCCTGAGAGATTCTGAACAAACAGTGGTTTCGCATTATGACACTTCAAACCCGCAACATGCAATTTTACAGCGAACGTATGATGCGGCGTTGGGAGCTGACACAGGTCATACATCGATCACGCTGTTGTTCCATCTGTGTGTGTGTGTGTATACGTTGCTAACTCCTCGCAGTGAGTCAACTGTTTTCATCTGGGTTCGTCTTCCTCACTCACAGCTTCTGGAATCCTGACTCATGCTGTATGTCAAAGCAGCCTCCTCTCACTATCTCACACCTCGAGGGGAATTTTAGCCCGTCCTTCCTTCTTTCTTCTTCTTTTTCTCACGCTTTCTCTGGTTTACAGTCATCTACAGTCGGGCTACTGCACAGTTTATATGTGCACATCAAAAGGTCATTTTTGAAAAAAAAAAAAAAAAATGTTGAAGAAAAGAGGATGCCAGGCTGCCGTTCAGTCAAATGACACAAAATAATAAATGTAGATTTCCAACCTTGCCATTGTGTCAGTAGTGAATCAGGAAATTTCTGGGTTGTCAGTTTTGGAGTGAGCCGTTACTAATACGCCCTGTTTTCAAAGAAACCGAAACGTTTTCTTGTAGGTTACTCATTTTGGGATAAGCAACTTCTTTAATCTTTTTTTTTGGATTCTTGCTCAACTTTTTCTGTCAGTGTAATCAAAATGAATCATTTCCAAGTCGCTATGTCGAATGTATATTTTTCAGCGATGGATGCACTGCTATGACTTCTTCAATTAACAAATTCATTATTCCCACCGTCCTGCGTGATCACGTCCCATCTTAAATCCACAGCATCACGACCTTTTCTCTAACCTAACTGGACACAGTCATTCCTCAGAGGAAGTATAATCCATCCACAGTTTGTCCAAAAACTGTTTTTCCAGTTTCATTTTCTCTCCTGTGGTTTAGGTTGGTGTCCTGCCAAAAGTTGCAGTTCACTGAGGGGGAAGTATAAATTATCCTATAAACATAACTTGGAAGAGAGGTTAGGAAGAGAAGGAGCCTCCTCATCAGACTGCTCGACTCTGCGCTGGTATTTCAGGCACGCATATATGCATTTGTATCATTTAAATCCATAATCCTGGTCAAATGTTTTAACACAAAATGAACAAAATCTTTCATGTATTTGGATTCTTTCATGATGCAAAAAAAAAACGCAAAATGAACAAAATATTCTGTGTATTTGGATTCTTTCATGATGGAAAAAACAACCTTCACTCACATCAGAACAGGTTCATAAAAACATGATATACTAGCGGCCAAATTTTATATCAGTCTACAGTCTACTCATAATTCATGGGGCAACTGTGTCAGTCAGCTCATCATCTATCATCCATCTAACTGCCCTGCTCTTGGTGAGCCAGGTGTCCAACCTGAGGTTCAATCCCCTAAAAATGTCCCTACAATTCTGGGGCACTGAGATAGAATTTTATGATTTCCGGAAACAAAAACTCTTTCTCTGACTGACTGGATATGACATGTTGAAAGTCTGTGTTTTACAGTTGTGAAAAGTTAACAAATCAATGGTAATTATTAGGTTTTTTGTTTTTGTTTTTTCTGTTAAGAAGATAAGAAGTCCGTCATTAAACTCCACGTTACCCAATCATGTCGATTCGTAGAACATACATAGAAGTACTTTCTTGTTCCTCTTTCTTGAGATGTTTCGTGCTGATACCTCGTCTACTGTTGACACATGCCTCTAAAACGCCATATAATCATAGTGTGAACTGGTGCGATCTGAGTCTGAGAAAGAGGAAAAAACAGCTTAAACCCCTTGATGCGCTTGACAGATAAAAAACAAGAACAAACCATCTTCTCCAAATAGAGTGTAAGCACCTAAATATACGGCGGGCTCCAGCGATAGTGCACACCCAACAGTTTGAGCAGTGTCTATCTAAAAATGCTCTGGCCAAGACAACCAAACATCAAATATAAACACCATCCTAGATATTTATTTTCCAGCCACATCCCTATTTCCAGTGCCTTCTCCTTCCCTCCAGACAGGCTGGTATTTGTTGTGCTGCTGGAGGTGATATATATAGAGGAGACAGACAGAGAGGGATTCCAGTGGGCAGCAGTGTGGCTGAGCAACCAGACCGTGAGGAGAGAGGGCCACTGTGTGTCCCTAACACTGACCCACCCTGCTAATGACAGGGTGCCTTAGGCCCCAGCTAACCCCAAATTACTGCCCTCGCCACCAGCCCTGACCGCTGCACTCTCAGAAGCAAAACAGCTTTCTAAAGTCTGCTGGAGTTCCACAGAGACAGGCTATAAGGGATGTGCAGGAATTTGGTCGAAGCATCTCATTACACAATTTCCTTGAAAGTTAAACTACTGTTACATTTTTGGAGGCTTAAAGGAATATTTAAGTTTTGGGGTTTTTTTTTTTATTTAAAGAGGGGCCGGTACACAGATGGTACTGGAGAATATACATCACTGCCAGTGGGGATACAGCGAAAACTCACTGTAGTCACTAAAGACACAAAGATACACTTCAAACAAGATACGACGCTTAAGAGTGTTCTGTATTTCAGTAACTCCATAAAGTGTTTAAAGTCTTTGCAGTAGTACAGGTGGACTCATCAGGAACAGCAGCCTAATTATATATTATTAGATTTTTTTTATAACGTTTTACAATGACTAAGATGGTGATTTTCTGAAATATAAACTGATTCTAAAACACATAAAAAAAGGGGGGGTTGATTACAGGTGGTAAGAAGATCAACCTGGCGTCCAATAGGGAGACACAGCTGCTGAATGTGCTAGAGCTTTAAGGTAACAGAAATCACTACAGGACCATGATAGAGTGTCAACACCGACTCTTGTCTAATGCACTGTTTCCCAAAGAATGGGTCGCGGCCCTCAGGTGGGTCACAAGAGATTTTTTTTGGGTCGTCTCTCATCGTGTTTCCCAGGAGTTTACGAATAATGTCTATTGACTTGGGCCGTGAAGGTTTGGGACTTTTAAAATATGGGTCCCCAGAAAAAAAGTTTGCTTTTCACAACTCCATCTCACACATACAGACCAACAGTCATTGACCCACTATATCATGCTTTTAGGCTGTGGACGGAAGCTGGTACTACATTAAAATAAAAATAGTAACAGAAATCAAATCAACATCATATAATCCAGAAAAAAAGCTCTTAAATCACAAGTATTTTTAGCTGATTATAATATCTAAAAAATACGGAGTTTTTCCTGCATCAGAAATGCACTGCGTTTTGTAACAAACTCTTTGGCAGATGATGCCAGAACAGTCCATCTGACACAGTAACCAGACAGGATAAGCAGCGGACACTGACCTGTCTGTTCCTCTCGTCTACGATCCGGGTGATCTGGATCTTCTTCCTCCCCATTGTGAAAGCACTTCCAATAAAAAAAAGCTGTAGAAGGAAAACTGGCAGAGTCCAGGCAGGGTTTTAGAGATGATCGTCAACACACAGTCCGGCTGTCTGCTCTGCTACTCCAGTAACAGTTTGGCATGGTTTGCTGAAAGAGGAGTGAAAGAGAGTCAAATCAATGCCAGCGCGATCGAGACCTCACTACGCAAACAGTGATGATACTCTGCCAATATTTACACACAGATCAGACGAGTGTACGTGTTCACGAGAGCATCGCTTGACAAATATCTACGTTGCCAAACGAAGTTGTTTAGAAAGAAAGAAAAACAACACCAGGACGTCAACGCAGCTTTCTAAGAGGATTACATTTCTTATTTGTTTTCCACTACATTAAATACGTTACACTGTTTCACCTCAGGCATCGCAGTCTAAAATGTGTAAATGCTAATTCCCTTGTCCACAGACAGACCATAAAAGAGCCAGTGTCACCAAAGGTCAACGGACCAACAAGAAACAAAAACTCTGACACACAAAAAACAACACTGGTTTTTCCTGGAATCCAACGTCCTGCCATCAAGATCTCCATCATCACACACCCTGTGTCAGTGGCTCCAAACTCTCCCACGGCGACAGTTGGTCAACAGTACCAGCATATTCAACTACGCTCACTGCTGTCTCCCCCTGCAGGAGCGTCCACCTGCCTCCCCCGTGTCCCTCCTCAGCCTGTGCCTCCCCCCAGAGCTCCTTAGCTCTTTGCTAATCTCATCTGATCAAGGAGAAGGCAGAGTGTGAGGTGAAGCTCGGCTTTA